GAAAAAGTCAAATTAGTAACAAAAATATTGCGCGACTATTTTGGTAGAAAAAAAAACGAACATTCCAAAGGCATTGGCAAGCCGTGCAGCAAAAGTGAAAGATGGGAGCTTCATAGTCTTTGTTTTGCATTCAAAACCGTTACGATACGATTGATATCAACGAATGATGGCTTCAGGAAATTGAAAACTCTAAAAAATCATAAAAATCTTGGCTAAATCTTATTAAAAATCTCCTCGAAATTGTAATGATCAATTGATCGAAGCAGGGTTACCATTAGTCTCATATTCAGGGGCCACTCCAATTTTATTCAGGGGCCACTCCAATTTTTTAATAATCACAAAAAAGCAATATTAAAAATTTGATGTTTTGAATTGATAGTTGACAAAAAAAGTTCAAAAATTTTCGAATAAGGAGGGCTTTTAAAGACTTACTTTTCAAGTTGAGAAGCAATGCAGTGAAAGTGAAAGCGATGAGCTTCATTAGACTCATTTTCCATCAAACAAAAAACTGGAATTAGTTCAGTAATAAAGGGTAGTTCATGAATGAGCACAAATATCAACGCTGGTGAATATCTGGATGGTTTCAACGCTCAGAAGACGTCGACTCGTTGCCTGGCGATGATCCTAGTCAGATGAAAAATTCATGATGAGTTGTTGTCGAATCGCTGAGAGTGTTGAAAGCCAACGGCGTTTGAACTACACTTCCGAAGACCAACAAGAGGCTGAAAATGATCAATGAACTTCGAAGTCACCAAAATCGCGCATTAAAGCTCATGGATATGTAAAAAAATTATATTGAACCGCTTGCCAATGATTTTATATAAAGCTAAACTGACAAATAGATTTGTAAAGAAAAATTGTGTAAGATGGGTAGAAAGTTTTGAGTTTGTTTTTTCCCTTGAATTAATTAACTTCCGTAATAGTAATCCAAATATCACACACACCAATACCATTATTAATCCAAGATATACTTTCAAGTGTGAATTCCCAGATATTGCGGTCCACCCGTAACTAGCATTGAACCCTCTGCTCCAGACTTCGCTTGACTCTACTTCAGGGAGTGGGCATTTCTACTTATTTCACGGCGCTATCGCAAAATAAAAGGACATCTTTTTTCAGGTCTAAGCCTAGGACGGGCAGAATCACATCTTCCTCAGAATGATCATATTATCCTTTTTGAGCCGCTAATAATCAGAATTGTTCTAACTGAGTAATGGAACAACGTCTAACCTTGTGGAGATTTTTTTCGGCCCCAAAAAAACTGGCAAATGGAACCCGGAAAGGGCGGCCACCAGAGTCAACTTCTAACAGTGCAGGAAGTCGCCCGCAATGCAACATGGATGTCGGTGCAGTAGTGGAGAACAATGTTATGACATGACAAGGAGTACCAACACTACCTCACCAGGCCAT